TCAGCCGAAACGCAAACTTAAGCCTGATTATATTTTAAAGTATGTACCAACCGACACGCATTAGCATTTGCGCGCGTGTGTGGGCGGAATATGTGATAGATTGCAAAACTTTATTAGTAATTACCATCGCAAATGTAATTTATTGTCGGAGGTTTCGATTGAACGGCGGGAATGCAAACTATTTTACGTAAATTACATTCGTAATAACAAAACGCACGTGCGATGGACGAGGTGTGTTGATAAATCGCGAACTCGAATCGCACTCACCTCTCTAAAGCTAACAGAACCAAATCAGCAAAATCAGACCAGACCTACTGCATTTAGAGTATTCATTTTTATACTAATTTGCATGACCAAAAATAATTTTGCATCTCGTATTGCTTTAGAAAAAACAGTGGCGCTGCTAACTTAATATTAAACTAGGAGGACCACACGCTGATTTGATCATGCTAGCTTTAGAGAGGCTTCACGCTTTCCGTCGCGCCACGGAGAAACCGATTCAAATTTCGCATCACTGAATTTCCAATAGAAATTTATGTTCAACGATTATCACTAATTTAGTCTTGTTTGTTTGTTTGCTATTCGGTAATTATATCGGCATTTCACTCGCTCGCGTATACAGGTATCAAAACAACTATTTTACCTCTCTGTTTTCTTAACTATATAATTCCAATCCACTACGGGGTGGCAGATCGTTACACAGTGAAAAACATTTCGTATTTGTGTTGAAATCGATCCGTGCAGAGATGTTTGTGTTAAATTTCTAACTTATCCGTGTGTTAATTTAACACACTGTCATTATGTTCTTTTGACTCTTCTGCGTTGAGTTCATATTTGCTATTTCGATAAGTTAAAACAACACAATTTATATATGACGTGTGCACTGAGAGAAAAATATTTGATATTTATAACTATAAACACACAGAGAAATAACTGCTGTAAATTTTTAGAGAACTATTTTTTATTAAATTATTATAATATTATATATTAATTATAATTATATATTAATTATATATTATTATAATATTATATATTAATTATAATTATATATTAATTATAGTATTAATATTATATTAATAATAATATTAATATTAATATTAATACTATAATATTAGAAATAATAAAAAATTATATGTATGTTGCTATTTTCATTTTGCTACAAAAAAATGTAGTAAAAAATCAAAAATAATTATAATTTTATTTAACTTAACTATTTTTTTTCTCGGTATACTTTTTATATTTTATGTGTAAAATGTACAAATGAGAGGTGTTATATTTGTTAACACATTTGCCACGTGCTAAGTTAACATAAAAATTAGAGCGGATAAATTGCGACACGTGAAATGTGTTAAATTTAACACGAATTTTTTCGCATGGCATGCGAACAACGCGTAAATTTTGCAACATGCACGTGGACATCGCGTATCATGCGTAATCGGGCCTTGCGCCCACTCGACGCACGTGTAAGCGCGCATTTGACCCTCTCAGCCGAAAATATCTCATTAAACGAACCGCGTGGCACACCGGAAAATTCTCGAATTATCCCGTGGTCTGTATGATATGTAGCTTCGTAATATTGCCATTATCGCTGAAATTATTTTTACCTGACATCCTAATGTCTTTTCTTTTGTGGGAAATGAAAGTTCAAACTGCAATATTTTATTTTCACGTTTTCATATTCAATTTATAACTGAAACATTCTTTTGTGTAACAGTTCTGTCGACGAGTATATTTTTAGAGAACATTCTTTTACCATATTCTAGCAACAATTCCCTTCACATAGTTTTTTATTCAGATCGGGGAGTGCATGAACTTGGCACTTTTGCACTCTTTCTTTTTTTAAAAAAAGATGATTTTGTACAGCACATCAAAAGACAGCCGCGGGCTCAGCTACCTTGCGCGTTTAACGAACCGAGTTCGCTCGTCCGACGTGGTCGAAACTGTGACAAATCGCGTGCCAACCGGCAAATTTATCATTTGCACTTTTATTCATTCATTTTACACGCCGTCGTCCACGCTACGTTCCACCGCGATCATACGTGTCGTATAAATTCCACAGATTACTTTGACTCCCAGCACCTGAGTGTCTCATGCACGCACTACACGAGACGCTCGTGGGGACACGAGACCGCTGTTATTTCGTTCCACAATCGCCAAGAACCGCATTGTGTCACACTGTAATCCGTTATGTTAAATCGCATCGCGCGCATTAAGTCTCATCTCGCGTCGTTACGCGCTCGCTATCGCTGGCGAATGATAACACACACATATCCACATACACACGCAATCATACATACGAGATATACGGTAACGCGTGCTTATCACGCGTATCGTTTACGCTAACGGAACCGACGGTCATTAATATTCGGCTCGCTGACACGGCTAACTCTCATAAAAAGCGGCTTCAGTGACATTGCTTCTAATATCGCGGATATTATCGTAGGTCGTTGGGTAAAACGTCCAGTAATCGGCATTTTTGCGCGAATGTGTCGTGTGTTAAGGTATACGAATATTTGAAAGAAAACGAATAAATAAATAATAAATTGTAATTGATAAATAATTAATAAATCCCCGTGCACCTTAATATACAGGGTGGGAAAAAAAGTCGGTACCCCTGAATAACTCGGAAAATATAAGTTTTATAGAAAAATGTTTTCGACAAAAGTTGTAAAGTTTAAAAAGATGCGTTCAATGGTAATATTTATTTGATTTTGGGTAGCGCCGCTAAGGTCAGGTCGAGGTCAACATTGCTTTTTTAAATAGAAACATGTATTTTTTATTACAGAATTTTATTCTACGTAAAGAAACAAACAACTTTTGTTTGAAAAACGATCTCTATTTTCTAAGATATTTACGGAAATATCTTAGGAAAAACAATTGACAAAATTATTGGTTTCAATAATTTTCTAACTAATTAAGTTTTTAATACAGCATTTTCTTGCATTTTCTTTAAGTACTAAAAAGTTTATAAAAAATCCTGAAAAAATTCTCAGAGCTCCATGAGAAGAAAATAAACAATTTTTATCTCGCTATTTTTCGATAAAGTTGGTAGAATTCGAGTAAAAAATTATTAAAACCAATAATTTTGTAGATATTTCCGAATTTCTAGAATTTTGTAAATATCTTAGAAAATAGAGATCGTATGAAAAAGTTTTTCAAACAAAAGTTGTTCGTTTCTTTACGTGGAATAAAATTCTGTAATAAAAAATACATGTTTCAATTTAAAAAAGCAAAGTTGACCTCGACCTGATCTTGGCAGCGCCACCCAAGGTCAAATAAATATTACCATTGAATGCATCTTTTTAAACCTTACAACTTTTGTCTGGAACATTTTTCTATAAAACTTAGATTTTCATAAAACCATCCTGTATGATGAGATTTGAGCAAAAGTGTTAAAAACTGATGGGTGCTGTAACGAGTGCCTTCTACTGGACGTTTTTCCTTATCTACACAGAAGGAATGTTATAATTTTCTTCTCGCATAAATTCTCGCATAAATTCTTCTCAATTGTACTATATGTTTAGTAGTCCACAGAAATAGGCAGTAAAATATCTTGTTAAGGAGAACATAGTAAATTTCGCTAGAAATATAGCAGAGACTTTGCTAATAGCAAATGTTTTAACTGTACATTCCAATTCCTAAAATATAAGCAGCAGGTATGAAATGAAAGAACAGTGAATTATTAAATGTGAATATCGATCTATTCCTCGGCTACAAAATTCTATAGCAATTTTTACAATAAAATTGTCCGCGTACACGAAAGAATTGTCGCATCGTTCCGCCGTTCTCGGGAGTCGTGGCGACGAAAATTGCGATTTTAATTATTACAGGAAGTCATCGGGCGTGTTATATGACGTTTATTGATCGATATTAGCATTGTCGAGATATTCCTGCTCGCTGCGTTCGACAACCATCGATATTAATCTGCCCCCATTGTGACAGAGAAACCTGGATATTAAAAGATACAGACAGGATGTTTCAGCTCGAACGAACTTAATAATAAACGAAACGCTCGGTCTGCACGTTCGTGCATTTAATAACATTTCCGCGGAACAAAAGAATCTCTGTTGCGCTTTGTACATTTAAGCATAGAAGAGATACGCAATTATCGAGATTAAAATTGCAATTGGAGTCGCGACCGGGGTCAACAATTAGCGCGCATCCGAGCGCGATCGGTATTTTCGTTTATCCGACTACCTTTTCGCAGAGAGGTGCTTTTATACCGCCCGGCCAATTAATTCGTCGCACTTTGATGTTTTGTCGTTTTCGCGATTCCGCATGATATTTCGCCAGCGGCTGAAAGTAGGGCCCGTCCGTTCGTCAGCGAACGTCACGGTCGTCAGCTTTGATCCAGACTCCACGCGTGGAAGTAAAGGTCGCTTTAATCAAGGACGATGAAATAAATCTGTTACGACCCTACCCCCATTATCTCATTCGCCGATGATCGCCGAACGGCCATTGAATAATGCACGTGTATGCAAAACGATATATTTATCAAGATGATATGGAAACTCAATTAACAACAAAAAAATCGCCCTCGGCAGCGTATTTCGCCAAGAAGGGAGGGAGCGGCCGTGACCGTTTCGTCAAAGAATTTATCTTGCCGGTATTGCACGATATTCTTATTTTGTTTCTCTTCAATTCGCCGTTGTAGCCTCGTAAATGTCAATTCGCAATTCGATTTAGTTGCCCGAAATATCATCCGATAATTAACTTTGAAGAATTCAAAGGTTACTCAAACGTGTACATCTCAGTACGTATTGGTCGAGGAGACTTTTAATTCTTTATTTTTATCGTACGATTTTATCGTACACTCAGAGGAAAAGATCGTGGAACTGTACAGATGACAGCTATACACGGAAGAAATAATTCCGTTGGTGCAATCGAATTTTCGATTGCTCAGGGATCAGACGAAAACTCGGCTGTAGGAACAGAAAAAATTTTTTATGAGGCTTCTGCATAATCAATTGCTCTCAGTTGCTTCAACCGAGTTCTAACGTCACTGAATGTTCAGACGAATATTTTCGGTTGCGACAACAGAAATATTAGTTTTCATAACAGAAATATCGCTTCTGATCATCTAATTCTCAGTTGGTTCCTATTCGGTTGCGCCAAGTGAAATTTTTTTCTGTGTACGTAGAGTTTTGTACGTAGAAAATTAATGGATATAGTTTATTATACTATTTTGTAGTTATTATATAGTTTTACGATATACAAATACAAAACTCAACAATGCAATGCAAAACTCGTACACGGGAAGAACAATTCCGTTAGTGTAACTGAATTTTCTGTTATCTGGGGAGCAGATGAAAAACTCGGTTGTAGGAATAGAAAGATTTCTGTAGGAGGTTTTTACTCAGCCAATTGCTCTCAGTTATCTCAACCGAATTTTAATGTAGAATACAGCTTGATGCGATTTTAACGCTCAATGTTCAGACGAATGTTTTTGGTCACAGTAGCAGAGATAAATCATTTCTTGTCGGCGAGTTTTTTGTCTGGTCCCCATTCAGTTACACGAACTGAAACTTTTTTCCATGTAAAGCGCATCGTGTCTTTTATCTCTAAGTCTACGACTTTTTCGCATCAGTTTCGTGCTTCTCGTTCTTTCGGTCTTTCGAACACGCGGTGAATTATTGCCGGGTTATCGTGTTACGTTATCCGTTTCTTTCCGCCACACCATAATCCTGTATGGAAAAGAATCGCACGCAATAAATATCAGCTTATCTGCGGTAACGTGTGCGCACCGTCGTGCGACCATCTAAATTGATAACGGACTTACACGAGTGGCATAGTTCTGCGTTACACCATTGGGAAGTGTAAATGTGGCTTACTCTGTGTAAATCTAATCGAATTACGCTACATCCGGCGAGCCGTGCGTACGCCGTGTGTCACTGACAATTAGGAATTCCCATGCCGTATTGTGACAGTCACGTTTAGCAATTCCACTCGAATCTTATTACGGCTATTGTTAAACGCGAATCCTGTCTTGAACATTTTGTCTAAAATATGCGCGTGCAATTGAATGAAGCTCTATAGTATTTTCGGTACCTCGTCCGTAATCAGACCTCGTAGACAAACTTAATTACTTTGCCATTTACTTCTGCCTTTCTCTCGGCCGTCTTTTCGGCCGATTTGGCACTCGTGTATTTTCGAATCCTCATATTTCCGAATCCTTATATACATTCAAGAGCAGTAATCACGTGGAGTATAAAGTTTTCCAACATCTCTCCTCGAAGGTTACGCCGAAAATACCCGTTTTCCCTCAGCCGCGATACACGAATCGCGACCTGGAAAATAAACTCGAGCACTTATCTCCTCCCTTCTTCAATTTTCTCCAAATTAAAAATTCATCTCGGCTCCCCGCGTCGCACGGAGCATCTTTGGCTGATGTTACCACGTCGTAAAAAATTCAACAATATTCCTCCCATTTCATCTCTTCTGCTTTTTATTAACCCCTTCACCGTGGAGAGCAAAATCACTAAGTGGGTCAAAAATTTGCAGGGCATTTCTACCAGACGTATTTTCATAAAATTGTCCATATAACTGTTTTTGACATCGCTGAGTCTGACATCGAAATTAGAAAATTTAAAATGGCGGATCCAATATGGCGACAAAAAATACCAAAAAATTTAATAAATTTCTTTAAAGCTTAGTAGGGAATTTACTGAAGACAAATTTGAAGTCAAAATTAAAAAACTAAAAGTGTCGGATGCAATATGATGGATCAAAATATCGAATAATTGGTGGATTTTTGTAATATTCGGTATTGCAGGGTTTTTAGACTCTCAAATATCAATTTGAAATCAAAATTAGAAGACTCACGTTTACATTCAAATTCATGTTTCAAAAATTTGAAAAAACTTAAAAAAAAATTGAAAATTTTAAAAGTATAAAAAATATACAGTATAAAAAATAAAAATATAAGAAATGTAAAATTCCATCGCAAACCTTTATGTGGTGCATTCTGAGGCCGTAAATTTTTAAGAATATTCACCAGCTAAATGCGGGGATAAAAATATTATTATTCCGATTATTTCGCTATTTTAAATTGAACGAAACGATATAAAATAGCATCATAATAAAATTGTTAAGTGCTTAGTATCTGCAATTGTCTATTATCAATTTCCAAAAGGTCCAAAAGATCTTCAAAATCTACCATCAAAAATTTTTAAACTTTGACCTCAAATTTGTATTCAGCGATCCTTAAAACTCCCTAGTGCCAAGTTGTGCAGATCCGTTAATTTATTTAACTGTTATTGAATTTTTTGTCACACACGTACGTATATAGATGTACTCCACAGTTTGAGTCCATCTAGTAGAGTACGTCTGTAAACTTACTCCACAGTAAAGGGGTTAATATTTCGTTCCTCTTGTGATTTTTTAATATACAGATATAATCTACATATATTTTATAAGTGTGCATATGTATAACTTGGTAATTACATCGGTACTACTTCGTGTATTCGATACACTTTCTATGTAACAAAGGAATGATCATCCCGTGAGTCAAAAGAATAATAGTAACAATTACAGTCCCACTAGTCGATAACTATTGCTCATTAAAAAAGTGTTCGTATGTTGGGAGAAAAGGAAGGAACGCTACATGTTATTTCCGAAAATTCACTGAGAGAAAAATGTATGATATTTTGAACTATAATAGTATAGTAAAAAGATTATAGTTAAGATTATAGTTATCATTTTTATAGTAAATGTCATCATAATGTTTGTAATATTTACAATATAAGCATAGTATAACTAACCCATGTTCTTTTACCAAGAGTTATAATTATTTGAAAAATATAGTAAGGTAACAAATATTGAATGGTAAGAGAAATTAATTATTTTATATAGTCAATACAATTGGAACATTTGGCAAATATAGGTACATGTAACTATATTCTCAAAGTGTCCTTTACTATATACATAGAGTAATAAAATGGTAACTATAAATTTGTGTTCATTTTGTTATACCTTCATGTTTAAATGAACTATATGTTTGAGCTCAAAATGAACCATAAAATATAGTGAGATAGTTATTCCAACCATTTTTTTCTCTCAGTATTCTTCCCTGAGAGTGTTCGCGATTCGACGATTTTCACGGAGGAGTCGTGAGGGCGAATCGAAGTCTCCTCCTCGGCGTATCCTCGCGCGGATCCCTTAAACGTAGCCGTTAGAGTCTAATTTTAGAGCGGCCTCGTAGGATGGCAACTCTTGGTCGTCCCTCAGGATATACTCTCGCTTGTTGATCCAGTTGGCCTCCAACTCGTCGGAATAGCTGCCCGTGCGCGGTGCGATAATGTTGAAATTATCGGATCTATCTTTCTTATCGAGAGGTGAGAGTACCGTCTGCAGGTCGAAGATACTCTCGTAGGTTGGTGGCGGCTCCATGAAACACAAATGAGGAGACGGCCGGCTGTATGATATCTCGGAGCACTGCTGCAATTGAAACGAGATAGTCAGACTTGCATATTAGGACGTGCGGACTTATTTCCGGAGAGATGGGCGAATAATAATTAAAATTGTAAGGGAATTATTTTATTAAGAAGAAACCTTATTCAATGACAAAGACTGATATTACTCAAGTATTTCTCGTGCTGGAAAGTTACACGAGAAACGTGAAATGAATACGAGTCCGACCCGCGTATAAATAATGTATCGTTCATCGAGTCGTATACCAAAAACGGATGTTCGCACGATTTACGTTTCCTGTATTTTATTTTATTAATATATAATCGTATCGGAATGGAAAGAGGATCATACGGATGATCGCATCACTAGTATTCTTTATTATTTGATATTTTCGATCATTGTCTTCTGACTATAATATTGTATTCTGTTTCTCATCCCTGTCTCGCTCTCGTTATCCCCCTCGTGATCGAATTCCGTTGTGCACGTCCTCGAAAACGATCCAGATATAGGCGTGAAGTATGTGTGCATATTGTCGCATTGCGTCGTGCAATTGGAGCCCGTTGTTCCCGCGTCCTGCTTTTGCTACGTGCGACACGCGAGCCTGGTTACGGGATACGCGAATTTTTACCTTAATTGCACGTGTAACCGGAGATGTGGGTGGCACGCGTGTGCGTGTACGCGTGAGAGAGGGCACAAGGTGGGAAGAAACGATTGTGCAGGGCGACGCGCGAATTAGGCGAGATCCGATTTGAGCTCTGTGTAACATTACACAAGTTATCCCAGACCTAGTAGAGGATATTTTGGTAAGATCTACTCGCTGCGGAAAATGCACCCGAGCTCAGTGGACGAAGGGGAGAAAGAAACGACACTCAATTACAACGCGATTATCGCAAACGTCGGTGGTAATCGCGATTCGATACACGCGCGCACTCCGTTGCGTCAAGCTTCTTCTCTTCGCAGTAGCCGGGAGTGGAAAAACAAAATTTGCCGCGAGTTGTGCGAGATCCGTTTAATCGAGATACAAAGGAAACGGTGTCTAGTAAGAGCTTTCCACCCTGTTAATTTTTCATTCTTGATAACATTGTTGATAACGAGAGCTTCGTGATAATACATTCGAAGAACCGTACCGAAGAACAGCTTATTTAGGCGGAAAGCTTACCGTTGGCTCCAATATGACAGTCTCCATCATATTATTGTTTGGTTCGGATGTCCTTTGGGGCGTTGAGGGTTCGCTCGTTTTTCTTTTGCCACACCCGCAAACATACTTGTAAACGTAGCAGCAGAATATGGTGAATATGATCGACATGACCACGAAGCTGATTGTGATGTTAAAAACAAACCAATATAGATAATGTTCAGACAGTCGTGGAAGAGTGCGCCCGGTGCGCTCCAAAAATCACGTGCTGCTGTGCGAAAGGGCAGGTGATGGTGGAGAAAAAACGAGTGTGCGCTACCGTTCTTCCCGGAGGGAGCGGAGTTGTGTCCATACGCGTAAAAGCACTACGCAAGTTCCCAGAAATTTTGATCCTACATTCGACCTTAGTATTTAACGTCTACTTTGAGACTCTGAAACTTATATCAGCCTCTTTCGACCTTTTCTAACTTAATGTATTAACTTTGCTGAGAGATTCTTTCCAAAACTTACAAGTGGCATTTTGTGCGTTTTCTGCCACTTAGAGGTGCTAAGTAGGACTTCAGTTTCCACGTGTACGAAACATACACTAATTCTTCAGAATATACAGATGTTGGAAAATTAAGGCCGAAAACAAGACTAAAATTTTGACACAGACACTTTTAACATGCGCTAGTCGAATCAATGGGGTAACTTGGTAATATTATAATGTGAAAGCTTGTTCATGCGACGTCGAAAGCAGCGATGACGATTACCGTATTATTACGTTCCGACAGGTGTTAATTCGGGATACGTTATCGTGCTAAATAATAATAAAACAATTATCCTTCTCGATTTTTATCGCGCTTTTAATGCCCATTAGAAGACACCGCTATCGCGATAATAAGTAATTAAAAAAGAACAGATGCCACTCCTCGTTTTTGATAGCGCATATCCGATGCATATACACGTTACTCCGTTGACGTGTACGATTACAATTAACGAGTGATTAATATTTTCCCGCCGCAAATATCGTTATCTCGAATTTCCGAGCCGGGTTCACGGATAAAAATTCATTATCTCGGATTTAACGACGCGGATTTAACAACGCGGCTTTTCACTCCATTCTATCTGCAAACTGTCTTTAACTTTATCCTGCTTTCGTAGAATATTACTGGCTTTCGTAGAACTATACGAAGTTCTCCGATGTGTGTAGATACAAGCGAAAAGGCATTCCCATATAACAGCTCATTCTGATATTACACTGAGAGAAAAAAATAGTTGGAATAACTATAATCTCACTATATTTTATAGTTCGTTTTGGCCTCAAACATATATTTATAGTTCATCTAATATTTGAAAACGAATGTCCAAAGAGTTCTGCGCGACAGCAGTAATAATTTATTTATAAAAAATCATATAGTATTCGAGGTCGCGTATATTTACGAGCAGGTGGGGTGCGCTACCTGCGCTTTGCTAGTTCTGTCGGTTTAAAAATATTTTCAACGTTTACTTGTAATCAGGGAATGAAAATATAAAAAGTTCTGCGCGATTA